TAATTTTGCCAAATACTTTCCCTACATCTATGGAAATGATTGTATTTATTTTAGTATTTGCTTTCTTTTGATATATAATTTTATTATGATTGGACAATTTTTCTTGTTCTTGTTGCAGAAATTATATTTTATTTAATTGTTATGCATTCTAGATTTCTTTTAATCTGTTGTTACCCATTTTATGTTTGCCATATCAAGAATGAAGAAGCTATTTTTACACATAGTGAGAGGAGCAGAATTATTTGAGATGAGACACATCTATCTGTATTTTAACTTGAGTACCAATACAAGTGATTCTGTGATGCTGGGTATTTTTACTTCTCATATTCACTGTACATGTTTTTTAATAGATTATCTTAACCTCATCAACACAGGAAATTATGTAACTTGATTTTCCATCCATTTAAACCTTCTCCATGGCATTGCACTGCATTTGAAGGCTAGGTAACATATAATTCAATAAATGTGAAGTAGTTCAAGATTCCTTGTTCTACATTTTACCTATGGCCATAATTTCACTGACAATAATATGGCTACAATGAACTTTTGTATCCCTAAAATTTGCTTTGGATTTCAGTTGTCCTTGTCATTTAGTGGCTGTGTTATTTTAGACAAACTATTGGACTGCTCAGAGCCTAGCTTTCCTCATGTGTAAAATGGAACTAATAACATGTATCTCAATAAGATTGCTATGAAAATTCAAACAAATAATGTCTGCAAAACATTTACTATACTTTATCATGTAGTGGGTGTTCAATAACTGGAATGGAAGCTAAATTATGTGATTGATTATAGTTATTTATTCTTATATTTGTTAGATTTTTATACCAGGGTGAAATTTCATAAGTATTTGGTAAATATTCTATCAGACAATTGTTTCAGTTGTGGGACAGTTTGCATAACGTGAGAAATGATTGTCCTTCAAAACTCAGCAGAAGGTATAGCTAACACAAAAGGTTTTAAAATAAGGCTCTTCAACTACTATTAGTATCATTATCCCCCTTTTGATTTCTAAACATACCCTTTTCAAACCTCACTTGCAAGGTGAACTTGCTTTTGCTCTCTGCATAACATAAGGAATACGACACTGTAAAGATATAAACCTTTTGATGTGTTCCAGATAACCCCATATGATCCACTTGATAGGTCTACGCAAATGCTTGAGAACTGAGCATTGTTTTAAATTGCTTCCCCTGTCTTCACTTTTTCTGGTGCTATGTTTTTATTTTTCAAACTTTAAACTTTATATGTTTATGATCATAAGTGACTAACAGTGTAGAAACTGCCTATTAGTCAATGATTAAATGTTAGGTTCATAAGCCTGTTAGGATGGTGGGGGGGGTGTCAATGTGGTGAGAGGCAGGTCAGTGACTGAGGGACAAGAAGTACCAGGAGCACCGAGATTTTGTCACCCTTGTGGTCTTTCCCACAGCGCAGCTTTCTCTTTGCACGGGAGCAGTGCTCTTAGGAGATGGAGGTGAGGTGAATGTTAATTTCCTATTTTAAAGTAAAGTATAGGATTTGTGTTTATTTTCCAAACTCAGAAGAAGTCTTTATGGTGAAATGAGTACTGTGTGCAGACAGATGAAGCCATTGGCACCACGGGACAGCTTCGCTTTCTTTTGGGCAGGCTCGGTCCTCAGTTTGCAGCAGCCTTGGGAGCATGCCTCTGGCAGACCTTTCCAATTTGCTTTTCTCCTTCTCCTTCCCTGCCTTCCTCCGTCTCTCCCTCTCCCCGCAAGGTAGTGAGTTGTATAATACAGCCAAGGTACAGACTGATTCTTGATCTTCCAAGTCCTGTACTTACTCTAGTTGCGAGAAGGAAGGCAAACAAGTCAACTTGCAAACCGCGGTCCCACCTCCTTGTCTTCCCTCCCTCCTGCTGAAGCCACTGAATTGATGTACATAGCTTTCCAAATGCTGGGAAATGAGTTATACAAACTGCACTCAACACCACCACAGAGTTCTCTGTGGGGAGTACTGGGCTCAGCAGCTTCTCTGGTTAAATAAAGGAAGCAGACCTAGAAAAAGGGGGCTCTTTTATTGTGCAGTTATGATATACTTATATATCACATATATAGGTGTACTATATATGATTGTGTGGTGTGACAGTACCATAAATAAAAGATCATGAATCCCCTTTATTATTTCCTGGTCACTTCATAAAATGGCACTATCCAGCAAAATGTTATTTCATAGCAAAATAGATTTTAATGGAAAATTATTTTAAGTAACTGAATATAAGTGTTCCAGGAACTTTCCCAATAGACAGCAGAGTATGTACATTTCGTAAGGGTGGAGCAGCATCTATTTAATATAATTTTTATATAGAAAATACAAGAATATTTAAAAATGGACACGTAAGAAAGGATGTCATGAGGAGTAATAAAATATGTTACAAAATAAAAAATAAACTTCAAATAACAAGTGGACTAAACAAAATAAGCCTCAGCACCATATTGGATTTTCTTCATGTTAAGCTGCAGGCAGTTGAGGTGTGACCAGGAAGAGATGATCTTGCATAGACAGCTGCTTGTGTTTGTGGTGGTTAAAACCCAGTCCTTCTTTTTCTGAAAAAAAAAAAAAAAATCCCAAAGTCAAGAGAAAAGACTAAACTGAAGAGATAACAGATTTTTGTGGACTGACAAAAGTAGAATTGAAAGTCTCAGACCCCTGGGCATCACGTGTGACGATGTCTACAGAGAGGGGGCTGTTCCCTTGGGAGAAGGCAGGGGTGTGGAGTGCAAACCCTACTTTAAAAAGATCAAAGAAGGGTCACAATCAGTTTTAGTCCTGAGTCTGTCACCAGTTTCCCATCTCTACATTTGCTTAGAAGTGATAATTGCAATATATGCATAGAGATTAGAGGAAAAACAATTTCTTTCTTAAGAACTGAACTAACTGGGAATAAGACCACATCAGTTGTCTTTTAGCAAACAAAGTTATAGGCTGAGAGATATGATGGATCGCAAGACATTTCTTCTCCATCTGCTGTCACTTATATCAGAAAATTACTCTCAGAATTACTCAGAAAATTTTCCACAAGCATGTATTGAACATCCAGTTTAATGCCTATGCCAGTGCTAAGAATACAATATTTTATATACTCAGTGTCATGGGAAAAAAGAAAAACAATTATTGTGAACATTTATTGTTTGGATGTCTCAGGAGTGTTTTCTCCCCCCAACCAGCATAGGGAATTATATCCCACCTTCTTTTCTACCAGGAATGCCAGTGTCTCCTCCCTTTAATTACCCTTTGTGTTAATAAACCTAGTACCACAGTTCACTGATGCATACTGGTACTGTACCAAACAAGATCTTCCTCCCAGATTTATTTTTAAATTTATTTTGTGGCACTGAGGATTAAACCCAGGGCCTTTGCTCTGGGCTAAGATTCCAGCCTGTTTTTATTTCCTATTTTAAAATAAGTTCTCACTAATTTGCTAATTGCCCAGGTTGGACTTGAATTTGTGATCCTCTTGCCTCAGTCTTCCAAAGTGCAGGGATTACAGGTGTGTGCCACTACAACCAGCTTTTCTTCCAGATTTTAAAATTGGGACATTGTACTATGTCTCTGGATGGCATGTGAAATATAGGAGCTCTACGCATTTCTAGCTTTCTTTATGAACTGAGCAGCACAGAAAGTCACTCTGAAGCCAGAGGGTGGAGCAGCCCCTGATAGAGGAGGTGGGGCAGGAGGGAAGGATGTCTCAGGGAGCTTGCAAATCCCCAGTTTTGGTCCTCCTCATGCTTGGTCACACCTTTGTCTCTGGGTTCCATACAGGTCCCTCTGTTGTGATAAATTCTTTTCATTGCTCAAGCTGGTTGGAGTTTTAGCAAGAGTGTCTTAAATAACCCGGTCTTCTAGAAGGAAGGGAGCCTGCCTGGTTCTTCATGTAGCTAGGTAACTTTTTCTTGAGTGTGGCATATGCTTCTCAGCTTAATTTGCCATAATTTTTCTTGGATGTCTGTATCAAACTTTAGCATAAAAATATAAGCTCTGATCTTTTTTTTTAGGATAGTTATCCTTCCTCCAGTCAACAATGCACTGCTACAGAATATTTAGATGTTGAGGAGCCATGCAACTCTGGTCTTCCTTATCTGTAAAGTAAGTGCTTGAATATAAATTTTTAAAAAGCTATAAATACATTTCATTCTTTCTGAATCACTGTTTTCTTTTCTTCTGGCTTTCTTTGTCTTAAATTCTTTCAACTTTACTGTCAGGTAAACCTCTGATCTTTTCTTGGTAGCTTCTAAAATTTTTCTTTCATTTCAAAGTTCTTTTTAGGATTTAATCTTTTTCTCTCTGTGGAGATGGCATACATTCAAGAGAATAACAGGCAATCCATTGGCACAAGACAGATTCTTTTGATTATATTTCTACTCTAATAGTTTTTTGTTTTTGTGAATTGACTTTGACATTTCAATCAAAATGACAAAACAAATGGAAAAGTAACAGTTGCTTTTAGTTAACTGAATTTGTGAGTTTTAAAAATGAATATGATAATACCCATTTATACAAAATACAAATGCAAAGATGTAATATGTATAAGGAAAGTCTTTAAATAGAGTTAATAATATCCATTGTGGACATCGTGTTTTATCAATGCTATGGCACAATAAGCCTGAGATTTCCTGAGAGCTTAAAAAAGGTATAAAAGATGTCATATTTATTTTACCTTGGACCTTTCTTTAATAATACTCTTTTCTGATATTTATTTAGTCAGACATGAGAAACTAATTAGCAGAATGCATTTCTACATAAATGTTCTTGTAGTCAATGAAATACTACACATAGAAACATTAAAATATGGAAAAACAGTATTTGACTTTAAAAATAAGCATTTATCAACATTAATGCTATCTTTGATTGCAATCAAAACTCAAACAATTCTTAGGCCATTTATAATAAAATGAATTAATTATTTACATCCTTGCATAGGATGGATGGTTTGCTTATTTAAGTTTTTTTTTTTTTTTTTTTCAGTTTTCAATCATGAGAAGATGGAATGCTTTTAAACTTGTGACAGTCATCCTTGAACAGGGACCACATTAATCATCTCTCTGTGGCTCCAATTTTAGTATACATGCTGATGAAGTGAGCTCAAGGCTTTTTATTTTGGGGATGCTTTGTCAATCTGAGCTAATATTTCTAGGTTTGTCTATAGTTCAAACTGGAGACTATATCTAGATTTTGAGACACAAAATGTTTACACTCAAACCAGAGACACCTCTGGCTCTTGATATAACTTACCTTGAGTTCCAATTATGTTGCAAGATGGACATTAATCTTGGATTGCCTTACCTGGAACAATCATGTCCTGTCCACGCTGAGGGACAGTGGCATCGGTTTGGTCTCACACATTTCCCACCATTTAAACAAGGAAACTGGCAGGTAGCTGGAAGGAAAAATTCAGACCTTCAGTTAATGCTTAAAAGTTCTGAAGATGTCGTGAAGGCTCATGGGATGAGAGTTGTTTTTATTTTCTGCTGTAACCACCACTGTTCCTCTCTAGCTGTTTTCACACCAATTTCTAACCGCTCTGCTTGAGTTCACATCCCTTTTGGTTCCACCTCTTCTTTTCCTTCCAAGCTAGTCAGTTTTTCCATTGAAGCCTTAGGGTATGATCTGCCTATTTACTGAAGGCTTCGCTGGTCACTCCAAATCTGTGACTGACTTTTGTCTTCTTTAATCGTTCTGTTTATGTAACCAGTCTGACACTATGACCGTGTTGAACTGTAATTTTTTCATATGCTAAATTAATTTGTGAATCCCTTGGGGGAACTAGCAGTAGCCTGTGTCACTGATTGGGTGATTAGGCCAGACACAACTTGGAGGGTAATAAATCCAGCACATGAATTGTCTAAACAGATGATTCAAAACTCCTCCGTGTTGGCTAAAAAACATCGCATGGCTTTCACCAGCTTTAATTGAAAGTGCAGAACCTGAATGGGGTTAAAAATTAGTCACAGATGAAACCCTGAGAGAACACCCAAAGATTTAATATTTCTCATAACTCCATAGAGCAAAACCAAACTCTTAATTTACATCAATGTATTTGCTAAAAAATTTGAGGGTACAAAAAATTGATGAAGTTCTAAAGCTGGGGGTTTTAGCATATTAAAGAGAAAGGAAATTCTTTATGTAGGAAAATAGTGATATATGCATGGAGAAATTTAATAAGAAGAAACAGTTCCATCTCACTATATATCATGGAAAAGTAGGTCCTTTTATTCATTTAAAAAATTCATTTTGGAGAGCTATTATTAAATATTGTTTCTTTAACTGGCCATTCATGAAATATGTGGAAATGCCTGTTAAGTAAGCACCACACATTTGATAATCATGGGGAAAGCGAATGAGAAGTAAAATACTAGTCATTATCCTTAAGGAATGCTCTTCGTAAGTTAAATGAAAGCAAGCCAACATATTTGCAATTTAATAAGAAAGAAAATGATGAAACAAACAGAATTATACCCAGTTTAACAACAAAAAAGCCCTCACTCTCCAGTTTCTGCTCGCTGATAAAGAAAAAAAATTACTTTTCCAAGAGCATTTTGGTTTAGTGGTGCCTGTCTGTACTAGTTAGCCACTATTTTCCACGCCTGCCAAAAAGCTGAATGTGTCCCCATCCCCTTCCCTACCACATCAGTGTTCTCAGTGGCCTATGAGCACCTTCTCACACTATTCATCTTCTACAGTCTATTTCCAATGCAGATGCATCTCCAGGGAAGCTGAATTATCACGCAGCGTGGAGGCCCAGGTGGGCGACTCTCCTTGAACAAAGAGCAATTACCTCCACTTTGGCTAAACCTGGTTCTGTCCCATGTACTGATAAATACAGAACTGCCTCAGGCCATTTTCTTTCCACTTTAATTGGCTCTAAGCAATGTAAGTAGGGCTAGCTGAAGTGCTGATGAGCAATCTTTGAAGCTAGGTGATGGTCACTTTTTCCCTGGCCCATGATTCCCAAAAACATGGTTTAGCCGAGGGTTGGGCTGCAGGATAAAGAACCATGGCTCCAGGGCTGTCCACTGGGTCCCAGCCTTGAGATAAGAGGCTATGACTCCTCAAGGCAGAAAAGTTTGCACATCAGACTTGAAGCACTGGCCCCCAAAACATTAAATGCTACTTCAGCTGTGTTATGCAGGTTGGTCTTTCTAAATATCCTTCTCTCTGCATATTGCAGAGGTGCTTTTAAGCCTCTTACCTAGCCCAGTTCACAGTATTCACATATCTCCCACATATCTCTTCTCACAGTCACTCATCCTCAAACCACTCCTTTTGCAAATTAATAATATCTGAATTGGAGCTCATCAGCCTTTGTTCTGATGAGCCTTAATCCTGGCTGGACTTAGGATCCTCTGGCTCCCCATAGCAACAAATATGTCTTAGGGTCTTTATTCTTATCTTGGGTTACATTAGAATGGGTAGACTAGAATCAATTTATTGGAATTCCAATAACTTTTTCATGGGATTATAAATATAAACTTTCCAATCCAAGACAAGGGCTCTTTATAATGCAACTACGCATCAGACTCCCGGCCATATATGTTCTGCAGACCCCCCAAACTCAGCACATGCATCTTTAGCTGCTTATCTAGATCCCCAGACCTGCTTCTCCTGGCTTTTACAACTCACCATCTCTCACTTCTGGGCCCAAACTAAAAGCAGCAATTTTCTGTCTTTATCTCCTTAACATATTGTAACCACTTGGGATGGGCTGTACTTACTAACATCTCCTAAATCCACCCTCTTGAAATAATCATTTTTCCAGACTTTGTCACATACTTCTTGTCTATTCCGTTCTGTGTCTTCCCAGCTGATCTCTATTGTCTTGTTCTCTGCCATTTCCATTACTGCTGCAAAATCACTTTTCTAGAAGAAAATCCAACCACATAATTTTCCTGTTTAAAGCTCAGTGCTGGCTTCTGACTCTCAGAAGGCATAATCCAGCATCTTGAACTTCACCTGTCCTGATCTGATGCTGCTTGTCTTTACAGCTTATTTTCCAAGCTCGCCTCTAAATTTCCTTTGTGGTTTTAGTTTTAAGTCCTACTTGGCTGACCTGCCCTTGACTAGAATGATCTTCATCTGGCAAATCTGCTTCCTCTTCCTTGGATTCTAAGATTATGAAACATTTTCTGAAGTTTGGCACTTGCTTATTTTACCCACTTTCAATGGTGTCTTACTCCATTTTATAGAATTCAATTAACCTCTATTTTAGTATATCCTAGGTATATGTTTACAAGTCATCCTGCCTGTCCATTTTTCCAGATTAAAATTCTGGAAGGAAAAAGCTTCTGTTTTATATATAATGTATTTTTTTGGTGGGCTTTGTTCTTTAGGCAGCCCAAGTAGAGCGCATGTTCTGGTGCTGATGCAAGATTTTTTACAAAGAGATAATAGGGTCCTGTATCACTGGAAACTTACTCTAGTCAGAAAACCAAGGAGGCAAAATACATACAGATACATCAGATTAGTGGTGCTTTAAACTGCATGATTCTAATTATGTAACATCTACAGGAATTAAATGTTAGAAAGTTGATTATTATGATTTTAAAAAGTATAGAAATAAAGGGAAATTTAGGTGGGAAAAGTAAGGAGACTATGAGTACATTGTAAGGGAGATCCTTTCTCAGTAGAAGAGAGATCAGGGGGCACTGAGGAAGCCACCACTGCAGGGGTCAGTGTGTGGCAGGATGGGAAGTGCTGTGTTCTAGTGGGGCTGAAGCCATCTACGCAGCATGTGGGATGTCGGAAGAATTCAGGCTGGCTGTGGAGACAACACATAATCATTCCAAGTTACCTTAAACTGGGAAAAGAACACCAAAAGCAGCAGACTAATGGCATTCAGACTGGAGATGGAGTCATTAAAGTTACTCAATGGACACTTGAGATGAACTAAAGAAGCTGTCTTTAACCGGCTGGTATAGACAGTGCAGAGTAGGATGCAGATGATACTGCCCAGGAAGGAAGAAGGAGAGGTACTAGGGTTTCAGATGAAGGAGAAAAGAGTGGAGACAGAGTCATTCATTGGAAAAGATGGCGCTGCTACCCCTGATATACTGTGCCTGGCAAGGAAGGGGACAGTTTGCATATATGTTCAATTTTGGGTGCAGGAGAAATGAAGAAAAATGCAGAAGTTGACTTGTTATAAACAAACATTACATACATTTTGTGAAATGCCTCAAATAAATGTTTCCAGGTCAGCCCCATGGATGTTTCTCCTTTTTAATATTCATGAATTGCCCACTTTGCACATTAACTAGGGTGACTAGATATCTGATTTGGCATGTGATACAGTATCTTTCTTTCCTGTTTCCCTGATTTACTTATCAACAGTGCCCCTTTCATGCTCAAAAAGTGTCCCGGTGTGGGAGACGAGTCACATGGTCAACCCAGCCATGGAAGCACCACTGTGAGCAAACTCATTGTACTTTAAATTTTACCCCAGTGAGGAGGTGTCAGTTTTACAGAAGGGCAGTGGGGTGTCAGGGTTCATACTAAAGAAACATAGCAAGGTATATTCTGCTAACAAGTTGTTTCAAGTTTTAGGGCATTACAAAGGTGTCACTTTAAATTGATTTATTGACACTTACTGAAACATTTAATATATTCAGGTTCTGTACTGGGCCCCAGGGATGTAAAGATGAAAAAATATCTCCACTCAAAAGTGGCAAGTAATATCATGGCAGTGTACACAAATATCAGACAATTAAATAGATGTCCAAAGCTAGAGAGCTGAATGTTATATTTGAGGAAAATACAGATTTGTTGGGGAACATCTTTGTCACTAATCAATCAACATAGTTTGTGCCATTGTCCACAATGAGGGACCATCTCTTTAATGATATTTTTTTCCTTTTAACTGAAACTGTCTTTATTTTGGCCTGTTCTTTCTAAAATGTAACAATGAATTTAGCAGTTTAGCTTCATAGAGATTAAATCTTCTAAACTTCTTCATAACATCTTTCTACATGCTGTATGAATGTCAATATAGATGTTATTCTCTGTATTTTAGTGCCTTTATCTATTTATTTGGTGCTGAGTAATGAATGCAAGGTCACATTTGCTAGGAAAGTGCTACACACCTAGTCTAC